ACATTTTAGCACCCACAAAACCGAGTCAAACGAACAGAACACGTGCAAGTCAAACACAGAACAAATCAGTTCACAGTCCAGTTTAACTCTGAGTAAAACCAGGTTTGTGTTAGGACGGTACCCTTTGAACTGGAACAGTGAGACCTGAAAGAGCCCGTGCTTCAGTCTGCTATCTGCCACCTTGGCAGGAACTTCTGACAGAACCGCTGTGATAAATAGAGAAGGTGGGGAATTGATAACATCTTGAACGGCTGTAGGTTGAATTGCACATGAACATGAGTTGGAGTACTCACAAAAGCTTGCAAATGTAATTCAGAACATATGGCATGCTCCCCAGGGCTTGTTTACACGGCAAAGTGTATTTAGACTGAGATAGTGTCAACTTTAAAGAAAAATAAGTCTTTCCTCAACCAATTTTTAGATAGGCTCTCTTATTTCAAAATAGGAGTGAATGAGTCTGAATTAGTTGAAGTCTACTCTGACTGGAGCTAAGCTAATTCAAAAAAAAGACACTCTATCAATGGAATTAGAGCACCTGACTAGAGAATGAATATCTATTAATAGATCTCTATGTAGACAAGTCTGGAGCAATTTCTCATAACATATATCAAAAACAGGTAAGAACGTAGCACCAGAGGAGATATTGGTAAAAAGAAAAGAGAAGTGGAGAGAAAATCCAGGTTGTAAAAAAACCCAGAATTATCACGTTCACTTATGCAGCCATTAATTGCTGCAAATGCACTTCTTCACATGCTTTTCTGATTAGTCAAGAGCAATATCTGCAAAGAATATGTTTTTTTCACAGACCCTGCCTGTGAAACCTGTTTTTTCTTTACAGTTTGGATTTCAGCTTCTTCCTGAAGGTAAATGAGTGTCATACCATAAATTTGACAAGGACCCATCTGCACGTCTACATATTAAAAACTCAGTCTTCTTCCCATAAGACATAGTACCAATCACTGTTTTAGCAGAACAGCAGCTAATTTCCAATAGCCTGTGGAAGTTTGCCATTGAGTCTGGAATTTCCTGCCATGCTGGTTTCTGCCAGTTTGTGACAGTATTTGCGCTGCTTTATCATTACAATCTCACTAGGAGTCTGAAGCAATGGTAAAATGTGTTTACACAGAAATAAACCTTGTTTCCACACAAATACATAATATGACATCAGAGTACTTAATTTTGCCCACAAGAAAATTATTAAGTCCACCATCATGAATGATTCTGTGTATTTCTCTATAATAAGGATAAATTAATCCTCTAGATTTTCTGTTTCAGTGGCAGTTTTTAAAGAACAACATTAACATCCTAGTCAAACAGGATCTCAGTTCTGATCTTTTCAGCTATTTAATTAAAAAGTATATATTCACCTTTCTCCCATATTAGGTTATAAATTCAAAATGTAAGTAGAAAGTCCGCCCCTCCTTTAAAATGCAATGAAAATTTCTCAACTCATTCATTTTGATTTTAATTGAAGTAACATTGCTCCCTGGGTTGCTTAAAAGTGGGTGAAACATTCATCTTCTTGCCCTCCATGTTCAGTTTCTGCCCACCTGGACTCTGTTCTCATTATCAGAAGTATATCAGAGGGATGTCAACAGAGCTTCACTTGTGCAAATCTGAGGAGAAAGGAGAATAACTTTCACCATCTGTAGATACCAAGGCAACCTGAAATCTCTGATAGGCAAGTTCTGGCAGTTCCTGGTACGACACTTTCACAGGTTTCTGCCTCCAACTGTCCACCACATCGCTCTGCTGGTAGTACCACATGGTAACACAGCAGAATGTGTGGCACGCCCCAAGCCTTCTCTGCTCACGTCTCAGCATCCCAGCTTAAACAGCTGGAGGATGTGATGTCTGCATGTAGGATGTGCTACGCTCTGCTTGCTGCCCTTTTGGATGAGGTGGAGGTGAAGCAGAATATGAGGCAGGACCAGCAGTGGAGAATCACAGAATCACAGGAAGGGACCTCAAAGGATCATCTAGTCCAATTCCCCTGCCTGAGCAGAAGTGGCAAGGACTGTGACGCCTACCATGCGGGTGACAGTAATGGACCCAAACCTTAGTGAAACAGGGTGTGCAGGAGAGGGAATGGGAGGCAACGTAGTTCTCGGAATAACAAGGCACAGCATGAAACGAGTCTCAAAAAGTGACACACTTCCCCAGCTGGTTCAGATGAACTCAGCTCTGCTACCTGAGCCAGGTAGCCACCTCGCCGAGCACAGTTACACTGCTATCCGACAGCAGGGCACACAGCAGGTGTCAGACCGTAAGAGGGGAAAAGCACGGCTGAGAGATACTTCCCGTTTCCCTGATACGTTCACACCAAATGCTGTATAGATATTCTACAAACATCTTTCCTTCTGTTGGATTTGCTTGCACCTGTTATCATCTAATTAGGAGGAAATTGGACTTATTTTGCTCACGTTATAAACAGACGCAACATAAGCATATAAATCTTTCCCTTAAATTCCTTTTTCTTCTTTCTGAAATGCCAGAAGACTGCCCTGTGAACCCAATGCGCAATTCTCTTTTGCATAGCATGATGAATAATGGATCAAGCTTATATCCACCACGGATGAAAATCAAGCCTTTCTGAAATCCATTCACTGCTTCATGGACCCCAAATCCTCTAGGTGCTATACATTTCAGCTGTCATAAATCCGTGTAATGTTCCTGTGCGTGACACTATTCATTTAGACCACCAATTTAGTTAAAATGACAGATGTGGAAAAAACCCACATGTAACCAAACAGCTCCCCAGCGATCACACAGCTGCTTATGCTGAAGGGACTGTGTGTTTTATTCAGAGATAGTCAGGCACTTCCATCCACATTTACCACCTGCTGTCAGTGTAATGTCAGGTGGAGCTGTGCAGTTCTCACTCAGCTTACTTGTATTCAAGCCATGCTCCATAAGGTTTTTGCAAGCAAACTCAGTGCAGTAGGTGAGATCCTGCATTTGCTGCCCCTGTGGATCATAGGAATATCCTCACTGTTGGATCAGGGCCCAGAGACCAACCCCTAAAGATGAGGAGACCTAGCAGCTGGTCCTCATTTCATCTCTTTCTTTGTGTGTATCAAGAAAAAATAAATGGAAAACAGATAATAGGACAACACTCTAAAACAGAGGGTATTTATTACCCTTACCTTTAAAGTCTAGATTCTGCCATTCACACTACAGTTCAACAGTCCTTATTCTGTAAGCAGACCTGAGTGTCCTCAAAGTAGCTTAGGGACCTTCTCAGACTCATCTAGACAAGGTATAGCAAATCAAGCTGTTAGGTCCCTGTTCAGCAATGCCCTTAAGCAAATGCTTATGACCCATTAATGTAAGTAGCCAAGCACTTTGATGAATTGGGTCTTTAAACGACAAGAAAACCATATTTCAAAGTGGCACCTTATATCTCTAAAATGAACATATGGCTCTTAATGTTTTCTGAAAGGCTTTTGTTTTGCAATATGTGTCAATTTTTTGTGCAGTATCCAGTTTTTCTCAATTTTTAACATAATGAAAGTCATCAGGAAAAGCTAAGTTTGCTTTTCTGATAGAATGAGCAAAATGTCTTCGGATTCCATTTCTCTTTGGCATACAAAAAAGAACAACTAGAGGATGTGCTTTCTTCACAGAGAATTCACCATTGTCTTGATATGAAATGGGAGAAATATATGCTTTTCTGTTCAAATTACTATAAATCAGATTTCATCATGGGCTTTGTGCATAAAATTAGCCTGCCCAACCATGTAAACAAATAAATGAATCAATGTAACATTGTTTTTATATGGCATATTGTCATCATTCATTAGTAATTTAATTCTGCATGTGTTCTGCAATTTGATAGACAAGTTGTGCACAGGGAAAAAAATAACATTCTTAAGACTTTGGCACCTACAGCTAAGCTGTTAAATTCATATTAATGCATCAAAATAAGTAATCAGCAACTCTGAAAATCAGGTCATTCATTTTTGTGCCTAAATATAGATCTAGATGACTAACTTTAGGCATTCACAGTTGAAAAATGTTCATCCAAATGTGTCATCAGGGAGGGTTGAATAGATTTCTAGAAGAAACACTTGAGAGAAAAATTCTAAACGATAACAATTTAGATGATAAACAGCATTATAATTTATTATTCATATAGTTCTATTGGTGTGCTTGGCATTCTAAAGGCAAGAGAAGAAATACAGCTAAATATGCTATTCCAAATATACTTTAAAGACTAGAACTAAGGCCATAAAGATTTAGAACACAATTACCAGTGCTCAGCTGATTGTAGTATTTTTCTGAGGAAAGGATTTATGCAGAGATTTTTCTTCTCTGCCCTGTGAAAATAAAAGGAAAGACAATAATTGTGAACTTTGAAGCAGACAGAAACATCATCAAACAAAATTTTCCAACTTAGACCTAGGTCCATAAAGATATTTAGATGCTTAATTTCCATGTCAACATCCAACTTCCTAGTGACATCAAGGGGAAAACGATGGGAAGTAGGTGTGGGATTCAGCTCTAAAAACAGTAGAAAGAAAGGTAATTCCAAAGAGTGACTTACATGACACTAAGCTAAGCATCTCCTCAGAAGGATTCTGGATACGACTCTCTTGTTAATGAGAGAGGAAGAAAGACAACTAGTTTCAAGTACATGTCTGACTTTCACAGGTGAAATACACCCTTTTCTTGATGCCCACATCAAAGTTGTGTTTTCATATTTCTTTTGGATTGAAGCACTCAAAAATTCCAGCATTGGTAAATGCTGAAATCTAGGAATATTCAGCAGTCAAAAATTCCATGGCTTTGTATAAAAATACATGACCCCTCATGACCAAGACTAAGGTATCTGAGCAGAGATTTTAAAAGGGACAAAAAAAATCTTTTGCAAAGGGAGCAGTCACTCTGTCGAGAAAGTGAAAAGCAAGTGTTCATTTGAACAGAGAGGAACAGGTATGAGCACTCAGAAAAGATGTGCTCCTTTTTAAAGATGTGTTAAACAATTCATATATTCCTGGTGAATTCCACTCCTGGCAGACTGTGTAGTAAGCACATAGTGACCATCTGAGTTCCATTCTGTGCCAGCTTCTGTATCTGGCATCCCAGCAAGCTAGTACAATGGACTGCTCTTCCTCAGGATCTAACAGCACTAATGAAGAGCTACTGGTCAAGTCTAAATGCAAAAGAAAATGCAATATTGCAGTGGCATTCACAGAAATAGCTTAATACTAACTGCCCATTTTACAAAGAGGAAGATGGATGTTATTTAACAGAGTCTTTTTTCAGTAAAACACTCATTTCTGTCCCTCTAGCGAAATGTGTCATCATACATTACAGAGAACCTATTCCTTTTGTGTCTAGGGACAAAACAGTTGCAGTGTAAAAATTTCCCAAGAAGACGGCAATGAGGCCAGAATCTGGAAAGCACTTTAAATGTGCACTCCTGAATTACATTGAAGAAAAACGTTTACAGATTAAATTCCATCTGTGCTACCGTTCCCTGACATGACAATGGCAGCAAACCACTTCCGAGTCCATCTTGAGCAGAGACGCTTGAATCTTTGTGGGGTGTTTCAATGTCGGACAGTACACCTTTGTAGTCTGGTCAACACAGATGGCAAAGCTGAGGCTCAGGCTCTGATGATAACTATAACTGATCCAGCCACCAAACTCTTTCTTAAAGAACTGAAGCATGAGACAGTTCAGAGGGTCAAGTCAATCTATATAAAACAGGATAGATGGATCACCTCTCTCTCTCCCCTCACTGGCAGTACGGTCCAGAGGCAAGCTGTCTAACTAGCTTAGGCTAGACACCTAAGTTTTAGACAGTGACACTTACATAAAATCAAGTTTGGCAGAGGTGTGTTTTGCTGAAATAACAGTAATTCTTACAATCTACTTCCTGAAACAAGAAGGGTAATAAAAACACATGCAAACTTCAGCGGTAACAACACAAACCAATATAAGGGAAGCATATACGTTTAACTAGCTTCACCACCACAATTCATTGTGTAGAAGCCTGCTACTCTCATAGCACAACTAAACAAGCCATGCATCAGCTGGTTACCATATCTGAAAAGCACAAGCTGTCAGTGCTTTCCTGACATCTCTAAACTTCTGCAGGACTCCCACCATGCCAGCGGTGCCTCTGTCTTTGTACAGTGTGTTTCCCACCAGCAGGTCATATAGCAGTACAGTTGCGGGGTGCGGGGTGGTGATGGATACAATGCCAGCTCCTGATCACCCCCACCAACAACAAAATTGACTACCTTTGCACTGCTCCCAAGCAGTCCCTGATGAGGAACTCCTACTGGGAGTTGTCATTTTGATAGAAGGCATCAATGACCCGCTTTCTCCCCCTGACACCTCTGGCAGAGGTCCCACTCTTCCTTCCATTGTCTCTGCACATCTCTAATGAGAAATATTAAACTCTCATGTTCTCAGAGTTCTGCCCACTCAGGCCCTCCTTGTAGCAGGGTGAAATAGCAATAATGAAACTGAATAAATCTTTGATGCAGAGAATACCACTTCGCTTAAGACTGCTCAAGAGCAAGCACAAAAATAGGTTAGCATCCTCTAGCTGCCATCATTCTCATGTTTTGGGTCCAGCTAATCTAGGCTCAGAACAAACATCATGGGTCAAGTTTGTCAAACCTTTTTACTAACTTTTCTTATTTTATGGACTAGACAATTCTTGACCACTTACAAAGGCAAATATTCTTCCTTAACCTACCCAGTGTTGGTGGGGAAACAGAATAAAGAGGACGTTTGCAGTTTATGGGTAC